TGCTGGGGGATTGAACCGCGGTCCCTGTGCTTTGCTAAGCTTGTTCTAAGTAGGTGCTTTAGACCACTGAGCCATCTCACCAGCCCCTAAATTTACCTTTTAAACAAGAACTTAGCGCCAGGTACACAACTCACTGGCACAGCATCTGCCTGGCAAGCATAAGATCCTGAGTTTGATTTCCTGTATTATAGAGGGGGGAAAAAAAAACAACAAAACATCTTATAGTTGTTTAGGTCCTGTTGTGAGGCTGATTTTGGAGTATCTCAGATTGACTAACTTTTTTTTTATGCATTTCGTACAGAGTCTCACTATGCAGCTCAGCTTGGACCCCTAGTTATCCTGTTTTTAGCCTCCAAGCACTGGGATTATAGGCGTTTGCCACTGCGCCCAGTCTCAGTGGGTTGGCGAGGCATGTGGTGCCTGGGATTAAACCTAGGTCCCTGTGCTTGGCCATCAGGGTGACTAATCTTTATATAAGAGACTTATTGAATACTTTGACAGGTGTGGTGGCACAGCGTTCAGGCTGAGGCAGAAAAGGACTTCCACAAGTTCAAGGCCAGGCTGGGCTACACAGTAAGTCTGTCTCAAAAAAAAAGGTACTTTAGGGCTGGAGAGATGGCTCAGTGGTCTAAAGCACCTACTTGGAACAAGCTTGGCAAAGTACAGGGACCACAGTTCGATCCCCCAGCACCACATGCCAGCCAGTTGCGCCCCCTGGTGGGCTGAGCTGGCCACACACACACACACACACACACACACTAAATAAATGTTAAAAAAATAAATAAATAAATAAATAAAATAAAAAAAATAAAAAATAAAAAAAAATAAAAAAAAAAAAGGTACTTTTAAGTGCACTTACACTTCCTCATAAACAAAGTCAACTCCATTCAGCCCAAATCAAAGGATGGCTTTAGTAACTATTCACAGCAAAATGGATTAACAACATAAGTAAGTGATTCTAAAAACTACATCAACTATCATGTAAATATACTTTTTGATCCACTTTTTTAGTTGAGAGACTCTTGCTATGTTGTTCAGGCTGGCCTTCAACTCACTATGTAGCCTAGGCTGCCCTCAAACTCTCAGTGGTCCCTCACCTTATGGCTGAATTACAGGCACATGCCACCGCACCCAGCTTTGACTCAATCTATGCTGGGAGTTGTCACATGTGCTAAAACACCCTGTACTGACTTCAGCAAACACTTAATGCCTTTAGCTTTCCACTGACAGATCATACATTCTAAGCTGCACCTGGAGGAGAATTTCTTTTTGAATGATTGGATACTTCCAGAGCAACCCAGTGGAATGTCTACCTGGATAGTCATTTATGATTTCAAGGGTTAATACAAGGTTATTAAGGCCAGCACTGAAGCAAGAACATGAGGAAGCCTCGACTGATGTGGCGGGGTTGGGCACCTTTTAAGGCTTCTGAAGTCTACTGAAAATTTCAGGTTGACATTGTCCTAGAGCAGCTCCCACGTTCTGAGGACAGAGTCTAGGCTCTGGGGTCACAGCCTAACTGCCTATGCAGGCTGAGCAGCTAGCTTAGACATGCAAAATCTGAGTGCAAATTCAGGCAAGTTATCAAACCCCACAAATGTGTCACCACAGAGGATTATTTGTGACCACTTGAGCGAGTAAGAGAGACGAATGTGTGGCAATCCTTTGGCACATAAGTACTATTTATTGTTTGCTAGTTCTAATACTACCAATAACTTATTCTAATAAAGCTAGAATTGGTTATAAAAAAGTAATACAGCTGTAAGTTCTTACAATTTCTAGAAAAATAAATGCTTTAATAATACAACTCTATTAACAGCTGCTTTTATTCTTCACACTGGACTATATTACTCCAAGGACCATGGCAGTTTTCACCTTTGAAAACAATAGTCTCTAATACACCATTCACTGCTCCTTTTTATTCTGAGATGCCAGAAAACATAACAAAGATCGGGCTCTCTCAGACTTGCTCTATTCTACAGGGGTCATGGGTCATTTAAGCTTGCAGATACACAAGAAACTGTTCTTGCCAAATATGCTATGTTTGACATCTTGATACTCAATGAATACTAACAGAACATCTTTCTTAAAGTAGTTACATTAAAAAAAAAAAATCAGATGAAAATACCTAGAAATTAACAGATGAAAATATAGAGAAAAATTTAAGAACAGGGAAAAATCTAGTTTCACCTTTTAAGAGAGCCTCAAAACAGTTCACTGGAAGACATGACCTCATCGAAGGTGGGAAAGAGGCAAAGAAAAAAGGGGCTGCAACATTTTTTTCTGTTATCAGTTAAGTGTCCAAATGCTCAAATCAAACCTTCTACACACTGGAACAGGCCAGTTCCTTTGTCACACAGAGTTGAGAAGAAATCCAATTCAGTAATTATATTATGGGTACCGAAATGGCACCTAAGCTGTAATTCTGGCCTACTTATGGAACTATTCCAGGAAACAGCCAGACAAAAAACCCCATAAACATTCCGGTAACCATTCCAAATAATTATTTCTATTATTTTCTACCAACTCTGGTACACACACATCACCAACACCTGATATGTGAACATTTTCCCTGCAAAATACCAATCTACCTATACAATTATTTTAAAAATCATTTTTTTAAAACATACAAATACAGTCACATCCAAATATTCATATCAACTTATCTTAAAGAAAAACGGTGGAATACAGGAGTTAAAATTTTATTTTTAGCTCCTTTTTCCCTTCTAATGTGGTCCACAACAAGGTGCTAGATATGTGTAGGCCTCAGTTGTCTCAATTCTAATGTGAAAACATTTGCCCCTGTCTTACTCACAAAAGGCTCTGGAGGCTGTTAAGATGTAAAGTATTCTGAAAAACTTACAACTGTTAGCATACTGTCATTAATATAGAGGAAACAAAATGCTATATATACTACCATTTAGGTCACTCTTAACATATTTATGGAAAATAAACTTGTCTTTGCACATTTAATTTTTAAAAGGTCAAGTAGATTAAACTTCATCAATATTAGGACTCTTTCATGGGCGCAGAACAGTACAAATGAAGAAAGTACATCTAATATTGTAAAAGCCAACATAGGGCTAAAACTAAACACAGCAACAAAATTTCATTGTTAAGTATGTCCAAGATAATACTCACTGAAAGCGGGAAGCTTATACTGCCAGAGGAACAGCTACAACAGAGGAGGGGAACTACTTTGTCTCTGGAATGAATTTTCTTCCTTCCAATTCCATTCCTTCTTCTTGTACCTAAGACGGAAAGTTAAGTTCAGTAATCCAGGTGGAACACAGGTCAGATCGGAGTTTTTGAAAAATTACAACTCAATCGAACAATTTCTGGAAAAAGAAAGCCATAGAGAACAGGCTCTCCTTCCTTCAAAACATTTCTAACATGAAGTATCAGGCTGCAACAGTCGTCCCCTGCCCTGAGTCACCTCATCCTGAGCGTCATGACCCAGGGAGAACACTGAGGATCAAAGGTTTTATTGATCTTGAACAGGAGTCACACATTAAAATTTGCCCACCACCAATTTGGGTCAAAACTGGCTTTCAGGCTAGGATATCCGATTTTAAGGCTCTCCACTGGCTCCAGAATACACATTCCAAAATGCTCTATAAAGATAATTCTTAAAAATTACTGGACAATATGCCTGGGTCAGGGACTTGAGGGCAGGCCGCACTGTTACGCCAGGAGGAAGCTGGAAATGCTAAGTGTTGCTAAGAGCCATCCATCCTTACCCTTAGTCTTGCATAAATCGCTTCATAATCTCTTCATCAACTCTGCACACTCCCAGTAATAAAGTGAGCTATTCCAAGATGTAAACAGCAGACTCCAGGCCCCACCCACTATATCCTAGGAGAGGGCAACGAAAGAGGATAGGCCCAAAGGGATAAGGGCGAGGGAGCGTGGCAGAGTTCAGATCAGGACAGGGAATGGAGGAGCGCAAGTATGAAGGGCAAAACCCACAGTCCAGGACGGAGAGACATACAACCCAATGAGTGTAAGGTGGAGGACGGATAAAGTAATGGGCGCCAGGGCTGGCACATGGAACGGGGGACTCGCGCTAGGCCTGAAGAGAGAGGAAAGCGGAGAAAGCGCGCGTTGAAGAGTTCAGCACGAGTGGAGGGGCGGGGAGGGGATAGGCGGGCAGGGGGCAGAGGCGAAAGGTACGGAGCAGGATGTGCGGCAGCAGGGTGGGGGGCGCCGGGGTCGCGGAGCCCGCAGCAGAGCGACAGGTAGACAACCAGGGCGAGCCGCGGGGGTGGCGTCCACGCG